TTCTTCTTCTTCTTCTTCTTCTTCTTCTTCTTCTTCTTCTTCTTCTTCTTCTTTTTCTTCTTCTTCTTCTTCTTCTCCTCTTCCTTCTCTCAGCTCTCCCTACTAAAACGTCCTACATGACTGCTTTCAAAGCTAACAACAGAAATGATTTAATAATGTTCACCTCCGTTTCACTCAAGTACTAATGTCTGAAAACGAAGGCAGGCACCTTTGGATATAATGCACTGAAATCATAAAAATATTCGTTTATCGAAACGACAAGGAGTGCAAATCTTTTCGTGTATTCGATACCACCACCAACATCCACACTGTAAGTATGGAAATAATTCCTGTTGCTACTTTTCTGGGTTTTTTTTTTGCAACAAGCACAAAACTCACTATTAGGTATTTTCTGCTACCATTACTACAAGCATTACGTCGCTGCCATAATAATACAGCATCTATCATCATCATTAGCATCATCATCATCATTAGATTATGATTCGTTTCAATGATAACATTCTAAAAATGATGATGATTTTGTCGAAATGCATCCGTCAGTTCAGCGTCGTATTATCATCATCATCATCGTCAACACCGCCACCACCACCACCACCACCATCTTCATCACCATCACCATCATCATCATCATCATCATCATCATTGTCATCATCATCATCATCATCATCATCATCATCATCATCATCATTACTACCACTTCTTCCCTGCTCATCTTTACCCCCGCCCCCCTCCCACGCCCCCTTTTCCCTTTCTCCACTCCCTCTTTCGCTAAAAGACAATTATCGCAGAGATGACTGTGCTCCTGTAACCCTCAAACTCAAACAACAAATCCCACAAACAGAGACACAACAGCGACTCACCACGGTGAGAACTTGCGACAGCCGTAAACCCAGCTTGACAGTCAGTTTCCTCAGCGGGCCGGCAGAGGGCCGGATGAGAGCGTTGTATCCCCCCACCTGCATGAGGTCGTAGAAGAGCCTCTTAGCGGCGGGGTCCGGCATAACTCTGTTCATCTCACCCACGGGAATCATCACAAGTGCCACGAGAAGCGCCCACAGCATAGACAGGATATCCATCCCAGATGAAAAAATGTGTCAGTCGCTCATCAAAGAAAATCTAATTTGTTTCCAAGCTTGTTTCCCCCTCGTTCTTGAATTTCACCGAGACTTTAGAGACGGAACGTTGTTTGTACCCTATTTCTGTCACCCGAGATAGCTACGACGACGGAGGCGTTAGAGTTTTCACTTTGCTTGTCTTCCTCGGTGATTTCCGCATGGGTGTCCCCGACAGGCTTCAAAGCTAATATGAAAAAGCCCGGGAGGGTAACTGAAAAGGAGATCAGGAAAACACGAACTGCCACGTGCGTTCAACGTCCGACATTTACCGATTCCTTGGCTCGTATTGTATTGATTTTCCGCCTAATCCTGAAATTTCTCAAACAATTTCTTCATCAGGTCGAGCTATCTCTTCGTTTACAGATGAAGGATCCCTGATTGCACTACCTGAAGGATAAGAAATTTCTATCGTAAAAAAGAAAGACGGCGCCGAGAGCAGATTTAAGCAACCTTTTGTGGGGCAATGCACAAGTAAATCAAGTTAATTTAGCGTTTCAGGCCAAGGCTCGTCATTCTTATGGTTTCCATTGATTCATGATTGAATTCTCCATGGTCTCAGGTGTTTCTCTCTACATCTTCACTAACTTGAGGTTCTACGCAATCTGTTTCCTCGAGCTTGTCGTGGTCATACACTCACTGTCGGTTGGCAGTTTCCTGAAAGAAAAATAAGAACATAAAGCGTTAAAATATTTATTATATTTACGAACATAGGAAAATGCATTCTAATGAGTTAAAAAAGAAAGACAAAACTTGAGTAATCACTCGTTACCATTTTCATCATCAGAAAGATTTTGTAGACACTTTCATGGACTGTGGTAGAGTAACATAGAAATACAAACACAGGCATATACACATAAACATATATTATACCAATAGACAACACACACACAGATGGCGCTCATCTGACCTTATGCAGTTGAGAGCGCCGTAAAACCCTCTACTATAAAAAAGCAAAACACACACAGACACACACAGACACACACACACACACACACACACATACACACACACACACACACACACACACACAGGAACACGTAT